GGTGCATATGCACTGATCTGACACGTGTGCCCACAGCAGGACCAGCCAGAACCTCCACCGCCCAACACGTCCCTTTCTGGGTGCGCGGTGGGAACGTTTAGGATCTACTCTCAGCAACTCTCAAGCATATGATTCACGCCTCCAGTATTTACCCATCTTCCAGCTGAATGCCTGTGCCCTCTGACATCTCCCTACTCCCCCCACCCCAGCCCTGGTAAGCCAGGCTACTCTCTGTTTCTCTTGGTTTGGACTTTCAGACTCCACGTGGAAGAGAGCTGGTGCAGTATTTGTCTTTCTCTGCCTGACTTACTTCACTCAGCGTAAGGCCCTCAAAAGGTCCACCCAAGTTAATGCAAATGGCACAACTTCCTCCTTTTCGTGGCTGAGTAACATTCCGTGCATATATACAAGGTAAAATATTGTAAAGAGAAATACTGCTAAACTTGATGAGACTAATTCTAAGCTCTATGCAGTACAGAAACCACATAAAGTGAAAAGATAAGCCACATCTTTATCTCTGTAAAATAAATACTCTGCCAACAAAGAACCAGTATTCAAGTATGATGCTGTAGACTATATGGTGTTGTTCTATTTGTAATAGACGGTGTATATGTAACATACAGTATTTTTGTGTGAATAATTATATTTATGTATTGTTACCTAACACATCTGACCGTTGAACAACGTGGGTTTGAACTGCACGGGTCACTCACACAGGGCTTCCTACAGTGGTAAATACCACAGGACCACACACTCTGCAGTTGGTTTAGTCACAGATGTGGAATGACTGATACGAGGGACCAACATGAAGTTACATGAGAATTTTCGCCTGTCCCTGACCCCACGTTGTTTTGGGGTCAACTGTGCATATTTACATAATACATGAAATGCATATGGTGTTTGTAACGTGTATACAGCACATTGTAAATACTCCACACGGACTACTTATAAGACACACGTTTCACATATACTCCCAATGCCAGACCCTCTAGCCCTCACGCCCCACTGAAGGGAGAAGAGCGCTGAGGAGCTCACGTGAAGGTCGCAGCCCAGACTTGCTAAAACACGGAGACCTGCCCATGGCCAGGGGACGCATCCCCTCCCTCCAGCCTTCACCACGTCTTAGGGCTTCTGTGCAATAACAGGGAATTACAGGTGAAAGAAAAGCACATTTCAGACTTTATTCAAGAAAAAGTCTCTAGGGAAACTCAAAGAAAGCAGAGGAGACAAAACAAAGACACTAGAAAGAAATATTAGCCTCTGATACCTACCTCTGCGTGGAACAGTAAACGTGGCCTGACCCACACCGATAAACGTGAAACCCCACACCGAAGGCCTCCGTTCCCTTCGCCCCGAACATCTTGTCTGGCTTCCAACAAATAAATCAAATTACAAAGCATGCTAAAAGGCAAAAAGCAAAATGAAACAAAAAGCAAGCAAAAATCAAAATAAAATGTATTTGTGGAGGTTGTGGAACGGTGCAGTGTGCGTCTCAGGCAGACGGAGGAACTTGGGCGGGGGGGTTAAAAGGAAGCTCCCGGGAGAGCCAGACCCCGGGCTGCAGTGGAGGCTCTGCTCCGTCTGCTGGACAACACGCCGTGGTACCTCCTGTGCAGCAAAGATGCGTCCTTCGCTGACGATGTTCTTCCCCGCGGAGCTGGGGTCCTGGGTGCAAGCACGCCCCTGCTGCCGCGTGCCCAGCAGGGGGGTCAACAGGGCTTCCACTCTGGCTGCTGCTAAGCTTTTCAACAAAAATGCTCACCAGCAAAACCATCTCCCTCGCACAAACTCCACGAGGGAGGCGTGCACTGGGCAGCAGACCCCGCTGGGGTAACAAGGCTGCCTGCAGCGGAGACTGGTGGCAGGGCACGAGCTGGGGTGCCTGGGGCAGAGCTGGACACGCACACACCTGCTCACAACCTCTGTCCTCATCCCAGGGCAGCAGAGTGAGCCCACCTTCCAGGACCCTTGGACGACTCAGAGAGGACACTGACAAGCGCCGGCACGGCTGTTCCATGTTCACTGTCACACGGGACGTGTGAGATTCAGTTTTCATTCAGACACTCGTGAGCACCTACATGTGCAGACCGACGGCTCCACCCGACGCAGGGCAGCGTGCAGGGAGCGGGGGAGTCGGGGTCCCACAGCCGGAGACACGCCCGTCACCAACTGTAGCTCACGTTTTTATCCTACACCACGGCACACTCAATTTTCATAAATTTAATTAACCCCCGAAGCAACCCTGTAGGGTGCTTGAGATCGGAAACCGTTAAAGCACTTTATCTGAGATACATGACTTTATAAACCAACAGCCCACGAAATGTCCAAAGCAGACTTTGGTTAAATAAAAACATGACTGAGTGGCACAGAAGGCAGGAGAGAGATCATCAGGCTGGGGCAGGCAGGAGGCGCTCCAGGAGACGAAGGGCAGACCACCGGGAAGGGGGCGGGAGCACCCTTATAGGCTGGCTCTCCAGCCTCTGACCCGCGTGCCCCCCAGACACCGCCCCCGAGACAGCTCCCCTCTGCAGAAACTGGAAAATAAAACAGCCAAGCAGAAATCCAGCACGGGTGCCTTTCCTGTTCCTCCTCAACAGGGAGACCCCGAAGCGAGAACAGTCGTTGGGGTCAGGACGACCCGGCGTCAGGGGAGACGTGGGGGGCTGCGCGGGGGCTCAGGCTTGAGTCACCTCGGAGATGCCACCATAACCCAGGAGGGCGGAGCTGGGCTGGGGGCAGAGGGTGGGTCTGAAGCGGAGCCGGAGGGATGGGGGCAGCGTGCAGCAGACAGGCCGGACTCTCCTCGGGACAAGAGGGCGGCCTGGGGGCTCCTGCCACGGCCCCGCAGGGGGACAGGGAGGCTGCGGGCTCAGGGCCCCAGGGGGACAAACACGGGCGAGGCAGGCGCCCGCCAGCTCCCTGCCAGGGATCCAGGCCCCCATCTTACCCGTCCTCCCGTCCCACACCGCCTCTGGTCCAGGCCCTCGGCTCCCCCTGGGGGCGGCCCCGCCTGCTGTCCGGCTCCTCTGTCCTTCACCTGGCCTTCCCGTCCTTGCTCCTTCCGGCCACCCCAGCTCAGCTCCCTGTGGCTCAGGCTCCGGACTGGACGCCGCTCTGACTACCCGGCCTCTCCCCTGCTCATCAGGACCCTCGGTCGGTGCGGAAGCACCGAGGGCCGGAGGCCAGGCCGCAGCACCCAGACCCGCAGCCCATCCCTGCGTCCCGGGGCTTGGCCAGCATCGCGGGTCCCACCACACCGGCCCGGGCCCCGCCCGAGCTGCCCGGTGGACACCTGGTGCTCGGTAACTGCGTGGCGGTTGCCATCGGGGCCCCAGGAGTTAAAGAAGACAGGACGGTAACTGACTGAGAATGACCCCATCTCATCAGAACAAAGCGTAACACACGAGGCAGTGGGCGCCCGACCCACCCAGACGCGCGTTTCCCGGAAAGACGCGTCCAAGCAAACCGCGGCATAAGTCGCCTGAGAACAGTTACAGCTACAACGCTGCCAGCAGACTTACTTCGAAAAGAGTAGAACCACTCGCTCCGGCGGGTTCTCAGGGTTTGTTCATGTTTCAAAGCAACTATGCTTGTATTTCTACCTTCTCTTTGAATCAAAGAGAACCACGGCTCCCGGCGTGAAACCCCACGGCATTCCTCGTCGTAAGTGCTGGGCCGTTCCCTTTCCTCTCACATCTCCTTTGCTCAGTCCTCAGGCTCAACCCGCAAGAACAAGCCAACATCAGCTTCCACCTGACTTTACTGACTCACCCGTGCGGTGCCTGGAGCCCACCACCTTGGGAACCCGCTGCTCAGGGGTCCTGCCCGGGCTCAGAACAACCTCCCAGTCTTTCTCACCAGGCCTCCCAGACCCACGGGCCACGGGCTGCTTCCCCAGACGCACCCCCCAGTCCCCGCTACCTCCCCATGCCATGCAGGCAGCCCCCACCCCGGCCCGGCCCCTGCAGCCAGGCTGTGCTCCTGGACAGGGCCGGCTGACCACCTCCTTCCCACGCAGGGTTCAGAGGCAGGACACCACCCCCCATCCCATCCCCTCACGTCTGCCTCGCCTGTTCCCGGCTCCTCAAGTACCCGACACCAAAAAGGAAAAGTCTATCCACCTCTCCAGGCATGTCCATTCAGGCAAAAAGACACTTGAAACAGCAGAAGCCCTGCCAAACCCATCTCCGTCCAGCCGCAATGACCGTCCACGCCCGCCCCTGCTCCACTGGGTAAGGTTCCCTTTGCTGTTGCATTTCCCAAAGGAAGCCCGCTCCCTCGGGGAAAAGCCCGGGAAGCACCCCACCCATGACTGTGCACAGGCACCTCCGAGCAGACATGAGTGGGCAGGGAGGAGGACTAGGAGATGTGGACCCCACAGCGGGGGCGCCCAGCCACCTGGGCCCCACAGCCTTGGCCTCCCTCCCTCTGCTGGTTTCCGACTAAAGGATGGGAAGCAGAGGTGGCAGCAGAGCAAAGCAGAGAGGCTGCAGCAGCTGGTGAGGCCCACGGAGGGTGTGCTTGTGTGGGCGGGGGCCGTGTGCACCGCAGCCCCTGCGCAGTCTCCGAGAGGACCCTGTCCTCCGACCGCACCATTCACGGAAGAGGACACAGCCCAGATCTGAGCTCCAGTCAGAACTCAGGCGCTGGGCTGCAACACGGCTCTGGGGACAGGCTGGGAAACGCACCCTCCTCTCCACGACTACGTGGTCGCACACTCATGCTCATACACAGGCACACGCCTGTGTCGGCACGTCCACACACGTACGCTCACACACGCATGGCCTCACGCTCACACTCTCCACTGTTGCGCGTGCTCATACTTGTGTTTGCACACACCCGCACACACTCACACACGGAAGGGTTTCGCAGTCGCCCTGTCAGGGGCCTCGTGCTCCTGCAAATCAGCACCCTGGAGAGCGGTGCGGCTGGTCACAGGTCCGGCCGCCTCTCAGTGAGGCTGGAAAGCAGCCACCTGGCCCGCATGTCCGAGCATCGACCCTCTCGCATTTGGATGACACACCGCACTGATCACAAGGTGTCTCAGCTGGCGGTAAGTTCACTTCCTTTTCCTTCAAGTGTGTGTTTTCTTCGGTTCACAGGTGAATCCAATTAGCATATCATTGTGACTGACTAAACACGCCTCATGTAATGTGCACGTCAAAACACACCCCCGAACTTCAGCAGAGAAGGCTCCCGGGCGTCCGTAAACAGCTCTGCAGGACGGCCAGCTCCAAACTCAAGAGCTGCAGCGCACGCCTGCGGGGCTGCGGGAGACGGGAGGAGGGGCCGAGAGCCGCGGCAACTCGGCACGAGCGAGGAGGGAAGACACCATCCTCAGCGTCTCTGACGACACGCTGTTGTCGAGAGGCCCCCTGCACCGAGGCGGTCGCGCTGGACCAGCTCATCAGGTGGTGGACTTGGCCTCTGACCCAGAGAAGGTCCTGGGGGAGTGAAGTCGAGAGGCTGTTACGAAGAGATGCCATGATCTCAGACATGGGGCCTGAATTAATGCGGGAATGGCGTCTGCGAGGAGGTTCTCCTGCTAAGCACGTGCTGTTCATCTCCTGCAGCGCCTTCTCGTCCGCAGGGACCGCCCTCATGCCCTGTGCACCTGTTCCCCGGCTTCTCGCTTCTCTTCAGGAGGGGGCAGAAGCGGTGCGTGGACACTGAGCTGTGAGACTGGCGGGAGGACTGAGCACCTTCCCTGCGTCCTCCCAGAGCGGCGACTGTGGACTTGTGGGTGATTTATGGGAATTCCCATGCAGTGAGACGGTGTTATGTTCGGCTCAGACGCTCACCACCGGAAACTTCGGGCCCCGGGGAAGCACTTGGTCTCACGCACCAGGAAGCGGGCGTCCTCACGTCTCTGCCACACGTGGGGGCCCGGGGGCCCCAGTCCCAGGGCCAGGCTTCCCCAGGCGGCTGCCACGTGGGACAGAGGGTGCGGCCCTGCTCTCAGCCTGGGGCTCTGCCCCCGCCTCCCACGCGTTACACCTCGTGGTGGGGGGGCCTGCCGCACCAGGTCCTCCATGGGGCCGGCCACGGCCACACGGCGACATGACAGTTCTGCTCCTCCACCCCCTGCTTTGTCCTGGGGGGTAGCCTTTCAACCATGAGCCACGTCAGCGGAGGTGGCTTCCCTGTACTGGCCCGGGAGGTCGCCTGCAGCTGCGTGTGAGGCTGTCTCAGATGCCGCGAGTGGGCGTCAGATCAGCTTGGATGGTGGCAGAGCTCAAGACCCGGGCGGACGGCCACCAGGAGCGGACAGAGGACCAGCACGGCCACTGCAGCCACGGGCATGAAGAGCGGGGAGCCTCTGCGTCCCCCCCAGGACCGTGACACCCCCGCTGCAGCTCCTGGGGAAGGTCGCTATTTAACTCGTGTGGAAAAGAGGAAAACAGACTTTGCAAAAGAGAAAGAAAAACAGTCCAGGACCAGCTGCCGAATCTCACACCCCACGTGGGGCTCCACAGAGCGAGGAGTGTCGTGATCAAGTGGAAAGTTCGTCAAAGGGACCACATCTGCTGTACGTGGTAAACGAAGAACATTCACACCTAACAGAGGCGCACGTAAGTTTCTCTTCATTTAACCAGCGTTTAAATGATTAGGGGAGACGTGAAGAAACCCCGGGGCGGGGGGTGGTCCTACGGAGAGAGGCCTCATTTCCAGGACCCTCGGCTGGAAGTGGACGTTCAGATCTGGGTCCCCTGGAGGTGGGGGTGCCCTGGCTCTGCAGGCCTCTCTGTCCTGTAACTGGGCTGTGCTCCTATCCTGAGGACAAGAAGAAACCACCACGGTCCAGCGAGGGGACGGGAGAACGTCCCTTCCACACAGGAGCAGCAGGGGCTGGCATCTCATGGCAGGGGCTTGGCGGGCCAGGGCGCTGGCAGGGGGCACAGGGGATGGGAAGGGAAGCGGACACTCTCGCAGTGACAGGTGCAGGGCTCACATCCTACCCTCTGTGAGTCCAGAATCTTCCAGACATTAAACTACGCTCTGCGATGTAGCGTCCACCCAGCACCTCAGAGCGCCTTCCCGTGGTCAGCGGGCAAGGCCGTCGGGCAGCCCAGCTCTCCAGCGTCTAGTGACCACGGGCAGCGGGGTTGGACTCCGTGCCCCTCAACTGACACTGCGGCCCCCTGGGGGGCTGAAAACAAGGCCAGTCCTGCCCATCCTTGAGCCGCCGTCTGTGGGTGGCACACATCTCACCACCTCGCAGTGTGAATTGTGGGAAGTCTGTAAGGAGGTCGGCTCGAGTCTGAAGGAAGGTGACAGCTCTTGTGTGGTTGGAAGGTGCTGACGAAGCCAAGGGGAGGAGGGTGGCCGTCCCAGGCAGAGGCGGGCACGACAGCGCAGGACCTCGTGCAAAGATGTGGCCAGGCCAAGGCCGCCTGGGGAGGCGGGAGGGCCAGAAGGGGGCCGCACAGCCCACTGACCGCCGTGCAGGGCACGGAGCCGGCAGGTGTGGAAACCAGGCAGAGGGGAGGCCTAAAGCTCGAGTCCTTTAAAAGAGACACACTCAAGCAGTGGCCCCTGGTGCCACAACGTGGACTATCAGTGATGGCAAAAGGGGGCCCAGACGTGGGGGCCTCCGATGGACCTGAACCTCAGCGGCGGCCATGCTAACAGCAGCTGCCGGTGCTCACAGGGCTCTGGGTGAACTGAGATGGGCTCCGTCCCTCCTGGTGCCCAAGACTCCTCAGGACCTCCAGCCGCTGACCCCTGACCCCACTCAGGTGAGCTCAGAGGGTCAGACCTTGAGACTGAAGCACCAAGGTCAGATGTCCCTCAAACTCCTGGGGGTGGATGACAACAGTGGGGCCCTTTCCATGGACAAGCAGAAGGGGACGCTGACAACCTGAGGAAGATAAGTAACATGATCCAAAGTGACGGTTGATCCTTGACCCAGGAGGGACCAATGCCCCCACGCGGGGCTTCCGTACACTGGCCACACCCCTGTCGTGGTGCAGGCCCGATGGGTGGGGGTCTGGTCACGTGAGCACCGGGCCCATCTCCTGGGGACGCTTGTCCACGGCAGTGGGTGGTTCTCAAGTGCTGGTTCCGGTGGCGTCACCTGTGGGGCCGGTTCCAGCACAGACCACAGGGTCCCCAGGGGATGGACCTCAGGACACCCAGGCCCAGGAATTTGCCTTTTCACAAGTTCCCAGCTGATGCGGAAGCCCCAGGGCCACACTTTGACGCCTGCTGTCCTGGCACCGTGGCTGGAGAGTTAGCAGCGTTGGCTTGGTGGCCATACGGTTGGCGGCAGTCAGGAGCCGGTCTGCACCATGGATGCGGGAGCAGAGCCAGCACAGCGGGCTGCCCTGCAGCTGGCCTGGCTGACCTGGCAGGAAGACAGGGAGCAGCGCGGAGGGGTGCACAGTGGCAAGCCAACGCCGCGGGCTGCGGGGACCAGAGGCCCTGGGGGACTGGTGCGGGTCCAGCAGCAGGGAAGAGGCAGGACGGTGAGCAGGACAGGAGGGGGGCCGTGTCTGGGTGGGGTGGGTCCCAGCAGGCGTGGCCGGGGCAGCGCCTGGGTGAGCAGGTGGCTCCTCAGCTCTGCCCGGCTGTTCCTCTCACTCCTCAACGTTCAGGAGGAAGAGACACGGGCGATGCCGTGGGCACTGTGTCCGCCGCCCTGGGGTTCACCCTCCCTCTGCGAGGTCCCTGAAGTCCTAATGGGCTCGGCACACGTCTCTGCTCCCGCTCTTCACCCAGGAACCCTGCCCTCTGCCGGAAAGCTTGCTGACAGTGTCGCTGTTCCCACTTTTCTAAAGTCATAAAATTAAGCACAGCATTGCACATGGGTGACATGCACACGGCGAGGCCCAGCCTGCCTCCTCCTCGCTCAGCGGGGGTCTCACCTGCTCACCCTGAACAGGGGGCAGCTCAGGTTACCTCCACGAGGGTTAGCCTGGGGGTGCGGGTTTGGCTGTGACCGTGGCAGGACGCCATCTGTGCCATTTTATACCTCGGGAGGGAACCACATCATCGCTTTGCTGAAGATTTTCCCCCTTCGAATTTGCTTTTTCATGCTTTGCAATTGTAACAACACAAAGTGTTGAAAGAGAGCAAACTGTCTTAAATGTAAAAGGAATAATCGCACAGCTGTCTGGTCAGCACCCGGGCACCGACGCCTCAGTCTGCCCCAAGCTGCCCTCCGAGCAGGTGCTGCCTCTGTGAGTGATGCTGCCCAGGTGACTGTCAACAACCAGGGCTGCTGGCACCTCTGCAGCCATCGGCTTGGTCTCCGTGCAGAAGGACGCCTGGAGAGATGGCGGCTGTGGGCCCCTCCCGCTCCAGGAGGATCTGGATCCACGGCCAGTGACAACAGAGTCTTGTGCCCACGACCCCCGATCTGCACACCCACATGGGTTCTTATGATCCCAACCCCAGCAGACGCCCCGCAGTGCCCGGCCACGTGGAGAACCCACACGCTCCAGACAAACGAGGCCAGCGGAAATCTGAGGGGGGCAATGACAACACCCTGCCAGCCCATCAGAACCCTTCCCCCCTGCTCTGACCTTTCGCAACCCCAGGAGCACAATTCTAGCCTGGCTGGCAGACAAGGAGCCGGGGCCTGATGAGAGCAGAGATCGTCACCAGAAGACGGAGCAGAACAGGGCCTCTCACGGGTCCGGGTCTGTGTCGCCAACCTTGGCTGTGGTGAAACAGTCAAGCAGGCGCCCAGGCTGGGCTGGGGCTGGCACCCCTCCTGACTCGGCTCACAGGTCACGGGCGATCCTGTGGCCAGTGCGTCCGGGACGCTGGTAACAGCCATGTGGCTCCGGCGCCTCTGAGCGCAGAGACGGTGCGAGGGTGGCGGGCGGGGTCACACGTCGCCTGTTGAACCGATTTGCCTTTCATGGGCCCGTCATCACCCCAATGAGTCTGTCCCTAACACAACCACCGGCGGTGTCACCTCGATGCCCCTGACACACACCCTGCGTTTTCGGGGAGCTGGGTCTCAGGGCCAGATGGACTTGGGTACCCACGTGCCGTGTAAATTGGAGGCTGGTTTCTGAGGACCGGCCATCAGAGCTGCGGTGTCCCTGTGCAGGAGGAAAACAGACGAGGGGGTGGGGAGCAAGCCCAGGAAGGCGGTGCTGGCCTCAGCAGCCCGCTGACAGGACACCCACCTGGGACGAACCTCCTACCACAGCTTCCAAGGGCTTCCTGCCCAAGTGCCAGAAGACTCAGGCTGGTCCCCAAAGCCAGGGCCCGGCCCACACCCACCCCAGGCAGCTCTCAGTGTCTGCTCCTCCCCTGCCCATTGGCCAGAGGCTCCTCTCCTGACCCCGGCACCTACAGGACGTGCCCTGGCCAGCCAGTGACCACCCCAGGCTCCTCACGTGTGCAGGGGCTACGTGCCGCCCAGCTGCCCAGAGGAAAGGGCGGGAACTTCAGACGTGCTGTTCAATAGGCAGGTATCATGGGGCCT